GACCCCAAGGGGGAGGGCCTTCTCTGTGGGAGCTCCCACCCTCTGGAATGAACTGCCCCCAGAGATCAGGGTGATCCCTGATCTCCCTTCCTTCCGCCGCGCCCTTAAGACATGGTTATTCCAGCTCGCGGGACTGGCCTAGGGGAAACTTTTAGAGGGGGTTTTAATTATAATTTTAATTAGACCAAATTACAAATATTTCCCTTTTAATTAATTTTTAAACTTGTAGTGTGTTATTTTTGTATTTTTACCCGGTTGTTAGCCGCCCTGAGTCCGCAAGGAGAAGGGCGGGATATAAATTTAAATAAATAAATAAATAAAATAAATAAATATGTGAGAAGTCAGGACTATATGCTAAGAGTATATACATCTAGCAGGGTAACACAAGGTTGTGAAGGTCATTCTCACATTGCCAAGAAGAGAAGCTGAATCCAAGTGAAAAAAAATTCAGAAAAGAACTTAACAAATAATTTCAGAGAGCTATTATAAGAAGCAATATTTCAATCAACCAACCAATCAATCAATCAATTTACTAAGAAAAAGTACTTGCAAGTTGCTTCGGTTACTATAGCAGTAACAGAATATAGAGGTGTTGAACCGTTAATAGTTATAATAGCAGGTACAGGGATAAAGTTAAACAAATTATATTGTTTGTTATGGTTGCAGTACTGACACAGGCCTATTAAATTATTAAATGAGTTTAAAAAGGGAAGTATATATCACAATAGATCTTGACCTATATATATATTGCACATTTGGATTAGGTATTTGTTTCTATTACACACACTCAAGAAGTTTGAGTAGACACCGAAGCCTTACCACATATGAAATTCTGCTTTTGACATCAGCCACTGTCCAACTATTTTCAAGCTTTATAATAATGTAGTATAAGAACTTGTTTTTTGTTTTTGTTTTTTTTAAAAAAAATAAAACTAGAAAGAAAGCATACTCGGATTCTGTGCTCAATAGGAAGCTTGCATCTATAAATGACAGAATGTTTTCACCTCTCAGTGTAACTAATAAAGTATAGCAAGACTCGGAGGTATTCTAAAATAAAGAAGCTGGCAAATAATTGCTGTCTTGTTCAGCGTTCCCACCACCATCAATAAAATATGAACAAAAGAGAAAAAAAGCAACCCCAGCAATTGGTTTTAGTCTCATGTTGTTTCTGGAGTCTTCATACTTAACCTTGCCTTCTCAGGTCCTGCTACTGGACTTTATTGCCTCCATATTTGCTCCAGTAGGAGCTTCCATTGAGTTTTTACTGGTTGCCACAAATGGAAAGGGCCTTCCAGTAGTAGAAGGACAAGACTGGATCCAACTGCCTATTTTATTATGATATGTGATAAAAAAAATGGCAATGTCATCTCTCTCTCTCTCTCTCTCTCTCTCTCTCTCTCTCTCTCTCTCATCAATCACCTCAGCTACCAAAGTAACTGCACAAAATTGCTAAGAGTTGTTAGAATTATTAGCAATATGAAATAATCTCCATCAAAATACTTTTACAATCCTGAAAATATACATACTTAAATCTACTACCCATCAAAATAAAAAAAAATAGTATGCTTTAAATCAAAAGCCAAATGCACAATTATAACTAATATAGTTGCATTTAGTTTTAGGCAATCAAACATGAAACTCAGAGTATTTGTTACTATTATTTCTCCTCATAAAAGCTGTTCATCCAAAACCAAATAAATATTTTTAAAAGCTAGCATGTAGTTTAGTGGTACTGTACAATGCATCGTTTACGTTATAAAATCATTCTATTTAAATTATAACAATGAACATGTAGATTCTGACTGTAATATGCAAGTTTGGGGATTAATTTCTACTAAGTTCTACACAAAAAAACTGGTATCAAGACCCAAATAGCTTTATGAAAACTTCCTCAAAAAATTCTCAGAAGCCACTTTTGCAGAAAAGAGCAGCCTGTTCTTAGTGGGAATCCACCTGGGACTGCTTGTTTATTTTTTCAACTTTCTGGGACATGGAGTTGGTTAGAAACAAGACACCCTACAAAAGAAGGAAGTAGCCCTACAGAGTAGTCTGTTTCTAACCGCACAGATGTCCATAAACAGTATAAAACAAAGAAGAATACATTCAACTATATTTGTATTTGATATCTTCAATGTTTCACTTACTGTTAATAACTCCAGCTTAACCCTGAAGGTCTTGAAAAATGATATATTTCTTCAGAGATACCCAGGGATGACAAGCAGAAGCAGAGAAATGTTTTAACAGTCATTTCTAAATTCTCAATCTAATAAGCAACAGGGGGAAATGAATCAAAGTTTTTTTTTCTGTATCTAACCATGAAAAACCGCATTTTGCTTATACAGTATGTTCTTCTGAAAGGTTAAAATACTTCATACATACCTTCTAATGTAAAATCTAGCAATAGGTACTCATAAGCAGAGTCTGTTTTTGTTTCCACTTGTGGTCTCTTCAGCGTTGAAAATATTTTTCCAGGACTGCTGTCATCTGGGTCTTCTAGCTTTCTCAGCCCACACCCCATCTTAAGACCTGGTGGATGGGTATAAGGGGAAAAGTAAGGAGAAGCGAAGGCAGAAACTCCGCAGGCACAAAATCGGCTTCTCTGATCAGACTGGTTAAAAGCAAGCAATCTGTTTTAGATCCTCTTTATTGCTGTTAACCATACATCCAAACAGGGACCAATTTTCTGCTCCCAAGTTAGAAAAAAGAGGAATTTTCTCTCCATATTCACAGCAAGGCACAACGTTCTTAAGGATACCAGGCAACAAATTCAGCAGGAGTACTAGTCCTCTTTCAAAAAATACAAACTGCTACAAAGTGAGCAGAGATTTTCCATGCCACGTCAATTTGCAGCCAGCCCCCTAATAGTGTTCTGTTGCAGAGGGCACCAGTGAGTGCTTTGTCTGTCTCTCTTGGCTGGCTGATAATGCTGTAGAAAAGAAAAGAAACAAAATAAAGTTAGAGCAAAACTTTAGCGGGATTACTTACAGTCAGAAGATCTGCTTCAGTGTAACGGCCAGTAAAAGAAATAAAACGGGCAAATGAAGTCAAAGAAATAGGATAGAGAGCTTCACCGTGGTCTGAGAAGAAAATCATTTCCAGAAAGGAAGTCAACTTTAAGAGGAAATTGCTTCTGGCATCTCAAAAGGGAGGAAAATAAATGAAAAGCAGTTCAACTCTATTTTAAATGTGAGAGTTAGTTGCTTACTTCCTTTTCTTAGGGCAGCTGGAAAACTACCCATCATCCTAGTAATGCAGAAAGATTTGACTAGAGCAGTGAAATCATACTATGTTTGGAATGATTAAATTGCCTACTTGAAAACAATCAGGGTAATCCAATCTGATTGATAAAAATGGGTCTTGGGAAAGTTCCCTCCTAATGACTATCTTCTGGAACATTTTGTAAATCTTTTAAAATTTATCTGACTTTCCTAAAATAGTAGCTGAAGCATTTCTAACTATTATACTTTTATTTATGTTCGTTTTAAAATAGATGCAATAATCAAGCTAAGCCAGAATGTGATGAAAGATTTGTGTGACCTCAGAAGATGGCAGCTGGAACTGTCTTATAAAAGATCACAACCTTGGAAACCAGAAAATCTGTTACACATCTTACAGGTCTTTTTTTTTTTTTGAAAAGTATTGAATAGTATGATTCACACTATTCATTTTTCCCCCCTTTGGGCATCCCCTCGTGAGATGTTTTGGAACCCTGCACTTTCAATTTCAAAAACATTTTCCCCCAAGAAAAGAGAGTAATAATCTTTATTACAATGATGAGGCTTTGCATCAAGTCCATGTGTTGGAATTTAGCAAATTCTCAATTGCATTATTGATGTTTCATATTAGATAATGTGATAACTGAATTCATTTTTATAATGATTATACAACATTTTTGACTTCCTGAATCTGACAGAAATTAAGTTTCTACAGGAATATTTTATCTCAGAGCAATCCTGCACTTAATTTAAATAAATAACCGTTTATTTCCAAAATTGCTTAGCTTAGAACAGATTTGTATATTATAAAATGCTTATATACTTTATTATAATCCACAATTTAGAAACTAACAGAAGAAAAAAGGAAAGTAATACTGCACATTTCTATAATCTCCCACCTCAAATAATAATATCAAAAAACATTTGTCTACCCCAAATCTTTGGAAAAGACTTGATAGGTGGATAAAAATACCAAATCCAGTCTAAACATATGGCTGACTGTGCGCTGAACTATAATAAGCTGAAGAAAGAGTGGACCATCTAGTTCCCCAACCCCCGGTCCGTGAACCGGCACTGGTCTGCAGCATGCCAGAAACTGGTCCACGCAAACAAGTCAAGCCCCATCTGCAGGATACAGGCAGCACATGAAATCACGCCCCCTCCAGTCCGCAGAAAAAGGTCTCTCCTTGGAACCAGTCCCTGGTGCCCAAAAGGTTGTGAACATGGCAGTAACTGGAGACAGCAAAAGAGAAGAGAGAGAACTGAAGAAAATCACAAAATATAAAGACCTGCAAATAGAATGACTGAGGCAAAAGAATGCAAAGATAGTACCAATAGTTCCAATAGAGAAAGGTGTATTCTCAAAACATCTGGAGCATCAGTTGAACATCATCGGTATTGACAAAATCATTATCAATGATTATCAATCAATTGCAAAAAAGCAGCTTTATTTGAAACAGCTCTCCATCCCTCTAACACCCCCATCAAACAACATCTGCCTATCCCAGGAAAGAGCTCTATAGGTAGATAAACGCCAAATCCAGTCTAAACAACTGGTTGACTGCAACGAACTATAAAAATAAAAATCAATTCAAGAATGGAGGGATGCTTATTCTCCATTCTCATTTTGCATCTTTTATCCAAACAAGCATTTTACTTCTGGGAATTTTATGCAGAGGACTATTTAGAAATTTGGATTGCATGTAAAAGTTTATATGAGTTTCCATTTTTCCTTTGTTAAGTAAAACTGACTTGAAAGTTAGTAGCTTAACGGCATACATGAAATAAATAAGATACAATGGCTGATTTTAACATGGAAAGGAATTATGTTTTCACGGTATGCTCTTTTTGCACATGCTCTATTTAGTTAAGAAGCCAAGTTTCCCCCATCTGAGAATAGGGTGGGGAATTCTTAACTTTGCTGAACATTAAGCAAGGAAATTAAAAACAAGGACGTGAACAATGGTCTGCCTTTGAATATGGCTTTAAGGAGAAGTGGGGCTCATTTATCCAGGTGGCAAATTCTGTTTGTGACATCCTAACAGGATTTCTCTCCCTCAGTCCAGGAACCCCCTTCTCTCCTTTTTCACCCAGTTCCTTTTCTCCCTTCATCTTCCATGCCTTATGCATCACAGTTATCCCATCGTCATCCTGTTCTTCACTATTGTTTCTGCTGAAAGAAGGGAAGGTGTATATATTGGCATGGTTTCTGTGCACAAGCGTTTCTATATGTAAGATACAATTGTTAATATAAGCAAATGAGTGATCAATTAACTTTAATCAGCAATTACTTTTTACAATTAGCTATGTTCTCTCTCTCTCTCTCTCTCTCTCTCCCTCCCTTTCTGGCAACAAACACACACTTGAGAGAGAGCTACAGTTCAGAAACAATATAGGTAGAACAAATAAGCTGTAGGACATTGCACAAAAATGATCGTTTGCTTACAATTATTTTATCTATTCTTTTTTTTTTGTTTTGAAAGGGTCTTAATTCAACCTGGGAGTGTAGGGAGGCAGTAATTGTTCAGGGGATCTTGATGACTTTCTGAGACTCTTCTCTGCAAGACTGGTCCACAGTTGGGAGTTTTCTTGGATTCATAATTCTTCCTCAAGAAATAGGTGGCAGCTGTGACTAAGAAGGCCTTCACAGAAATCCAACTTGGGTGCTATTTGTGCCATTATTTGGACAGTCATTCGTACTTTGGTCAGCTTGCACATTGACTGCTGTAATGTGTTGTGTATGAGGTTGCCCCCCCCAAAACATTTGAAAGCTGCAGCTGATTCAGAATCCAGCAGCAAGCCTTGTCATGGCCATATAGCACATTTGCTCCATGAGCTGTGATGGTTTTCACTAGGTGTCGAATGCAATTGAGGATGCTGGTTAGTGTCTATAAAGCACTTTATAGAATAGGACTGGTTATCAAAAGAACTGTTTCCTATAGTTTTTGCCAGGGAGGAACAACTGGACTGAGTTAGGATGCTTCCGAATCCTTTCTTTTGAGCAGTGTCACCTGATGGGACCTAGGAAGTTTGCCCTTAGGAAACCAACCCCCTTGAAGTTCATCTCTTAACCTGGCTATGTTTAAAAGAACCCAAAAAACCGAGCTCTTCCTTCAGACCTTGCATTAGAATGAGAGGTGGTTCTTGTGTGTATTATTTGGGAGTTTTATTTGTATTTTAGTTTCTGATTTTATCATATGCGGCTCGGTCAGTGTTAAATTGAGCAGCATTATAAATGTATTTATTTTTTGTTATGAGTTATCCTGAGTTGTGTACTATCTTCAGTTGGCTGTATAAATCAATTTAATAAACATAAATAACATTTTCTTTTTTTCAAAAATAGATCATCAACATCCAAAGCTGTTTTTTAATTAGGTAAACATTAGGGTTTATATAAAATTCCATTTTAAAATAAGTTAGCAAGGAACTTCTAAACTTCAACAGCGAATTTGTAATATAGTTCAGATTCTTGCACACCACAGAAAATAAGTGATATATTTCTGCTGGAGAACAGTTCTCATCAATAGTCTAGTTCAAATTCTGATAGATCTAATAAGTTATTTTATATAAGCTTAGTGAATTTGACTAATTTAAGCTACTAGCAGATCTTTGCATAATATGCGTACCTAATTTTGAAAATTCCTCCCACATAATTAGATGGTGTGAATGATTTATATTAGTTATACTAAGTGGAGATTCTGATAGTAACAACACATATGGGTGATTCCATATTAGAGAAACTGATATGGAGTTAAGAGAATACTTTGGCTCCATTCTATAGGAAAATAGAGTATAATGTGACATAGGAACATAGAGTAAGTGCCTGCAAAATATTACAATGGAAAGACTTCTGTGATGTTATACTGATTTCAGTATATCTTCAAAATATTTACCAATCCTTTTTTCTTTCTATTCCATAGCAATCACTAATAGTGTGTGATTACATAAGATTCTTTAACATGTTCTAGATCAGCGGTTCTCAACCTATGGGTCGNGCTGTCCGCCATTTTTTTCCCCCTTTTCCGGCGGGTGCCTTACCTCCCTTGAGCTGGGCCAGCTGGTGGTCGGCCTGCTCCGTCTCTGCCGCTTGCCAGCTACGCCTCGGCCGGCGCAGGGGGCGGAACCACGCATGCACGGCGCTCCCGGGCAGGGAAAGTCCTCGACTTACGACCGGTTGGGTAGTCCTCGACTTACAACCGGTTTAGTCCTCAACTTACGACCGGCTTTGTCCTCGACTTACGACCGGTTTAGTCCTCGACTTACGACCGGTTGGGGGTCACGGCATTAAAAAGGTTGAGAACCACTGTTCTAGATAAATCCCATTGCTTGTTTTTGCATATGCCCAAAATAAACGAATGGAAACAGCAATAAAAATGGTTATTTTTAATTTTGACAATGTAAAATAGGTGTCTAGTAGTGCCATTCTATGTAAGAAAGATAAAGGAGACAAACTTGCCAAAGTCTCAAATGAAATCATTGGGAAAGATGATTTCCTTGATGTAAATATGGCCGCACACTCATCAGAAGTATAAAAACTAACACACTTTCCATCTACATAGTAGGAC